TACCTTTGCGACTTCTTGCAGTCCCTTCAGCAGAAAAGCGTAATGTCTCAGTGTGGACAGCTCCGATTTCGGGACCACCAGACAGAAACACACATGCAGGGGGAGCTCTTCCTTTGCAGCCAGCTGCTGCGCACGGATCAAGGCCCAGTTATCTTTATTAGGGTTGGATAGGAAAAGTGAAACATACAGTAAGAATACACGTCCCTCATGAGTCTGGCAGTTTGTTGTGTGTGGCATATTGTCACCTTGCACCCTCTGGTCTCTCTGCATCCAGTACAGCACCCCCTCCGAGCCCTGCTTGATCTTCTTCGTGTCGGTGAGAAACCGCTGGCGCTTCTCGTTGAACTTACTGTCCTTCTTGTCCTCCCTCTGCTGCTTCACCAGGCTCTGCAGCCAGCCCGCGGCTTTCTCCGCCTTCTCCAGCTTCGGCTGCTTGGCGCTGGGCTCCTTGCCTCCCGCGGCAGTCGGCGCCTTGCGTTTTTTCTCCGACATGGTGGCTCCGCCGAATGAAGAGAAGAAGAGCGTCGGTCTGCGAGCCTGACTGGGGAGTCGCGCGAGCCTCGGGGCTGTTATCGGTGCGGTGAGAAGATGAGATCTGAAGAAGGAAAAGAACAGAGGAAACTTGAAGCGCTCGCGAGCAAACACAAAAGAATCTGAAAATAAATAAATAAATAAATAAATAAATAAATAAATAAATAAATAAATAAAAATAAAAAAATAAAAGCGCATACATTAATTGGCAAAACGTGCACAAACTGTTAATGTGTCTATTAATGAACCAAACTTTCATTCAAAGAGCCCAGCATCAAAAAAACAAACCTTTTCCACACACGGAGCAGCATACACGACGGAAGCCTTCAGACCGGCCTTTTTGGCTGCAGTCAGTCGTGGAAGCTCATTTTAATGGAAGAAAGACAAGGAAGCAAACAGAAAACAGCCGCTCACGTAACCTTCTCCGCTTTACACAACCACTTACATGAGCACGCTGGTGACAGCTTTCGTAACACTGTTTTCATTGGATTTGACTACACGTCCCGTCATGCCTCTCTGAGAAGATCTCCGGTGGCCATGACTTATGGCAAGCTCATTGTGTAATTACTCGAATCCTTGGCATCGGTAGTGTATGGCAAGATAGTTGTAAAAATACTTACATATCCCTACTCATTTTGGCTTGTCATTTTGGTAGACATCTGACCCGCAGACAGAAGAGTTGAATGTTCGATTAAATAGTGCGTTCTTATTTAGATGAATATTTTTGATCACACATGACTAAATCAAACTTTTAAGACTTATATTAGAAAAAATGGTGCAAGAAGTTAGAAAAGGGTTAAATTTCTTTATCTTTATGAATATAGAAAACACAAAGGAAAGTTATTAAATTCCTAGGCAGAACGACTGTACGCAAAACTTTAGATTTAAATCCCCATCATATCCACTCCGTAGCGGTAGGTGGCAGTACACACTTGAAAATCCACAAATAAACCACAAAGAAGCGATAGGTAGATACATAGACATAATATAAGGATATATAATATCCTTATATATAAGGATATATAATATCCTTATATATAAGGATATATTATATATCCTTATATATAAGGATATATAATATATCCTTATATATAAGGATATATTATATATAAGGGTTATATTATATCCTTATAATATAAGGATATATTATAAGGATATAATATATCTTTATATAAGGATATATATTATGTCTATAGATAGATAGATAGATAGATAGATAGATAGATAGATAGATAGATAGATAGAACAAGATTATTCTTTTAAATCAGATCATATAAAGGTTGTATTAATTAATTAATTTTATTTATTTATTTATTGTTTTAGAAATGAAACCATCATGAGCTACAGTCCATACCAGTAGATGGTAGTAACGCAAATCTTCAGTTTTATTGCCAATCGTCAAAAAGCACCAGAAGAAGAAAAGGAAAAAGAAAACGAAGAAGAAGAGGCGGCGTTCCGGCTGGAGGAGGTTCCTCTGTTGTGGCAGAGCTCCAGAAGCCAGCAGAACCTTCCGCTGGCTGCTGGTCCATTTCTGGAGCGGCTGTCCTGGTTTGAGTGATGAAGAACGGTGGTTTCAGCACAAGACGCAGGGAAATGGCGGCCGTTCCCGATAAAGTCGATATGTCCTTAGGTAACATTCTCCTTTTTTTTTTACTACCAAAAATAGATTCCTTGCTATGTTAGCATCTGCTTAATAGCATCAGCCAAGCAGTCTGGATAAATATAAACATGGCATTTCTCGCTGTTGTCATTTCGACAGATGACATAATTCGCCTAAATAAAAAGGAGAAACAGTTGATAAGAAGACAAGCTAATGTGAACCGCAGACCGTTCAAGCAGAAAGGCCGTTTGAGTCAAACCAGGAGCGGAGCAGCAGGACAGAGAGGTGGGAGCTAACCTTCCCCTGCTACTGCGGCGAGGTCCCGTTACAAATAATTACAACTGTGGGCAAATTGTCATCTCACCAGGAGGTGGCGCACCTCGAGGAGGAGCGACTGTGCTAAGAAACAGGACGGTTCCTCCTCTGGTGGGTCGGCGGCGGGGTCAGGGGGTCATCACCGGACTGGCGGCCAGGAGGCCCGCCGTCCTGCTGAAACGAGCCGGAGTACTGAACAGATCAGCAGCCAGCCAGGTAACACCCAGACTGAGAAGAGAGGTCGGCAGATGATGCGTTCAATGCCCAAGAGGGAATCTCTGGTTCAGTTTAACACAGATGCTGCATCAGTGGACATTCTGGACTCCTTCTGTGTTGTTAACACATTCAGAGTGAAGTTCTCACAGTTGGAAATGTGAGAGGAGGCCTCTGTCCACAGGAAGTACAGCGTGAAAGTGATTGTTTACTAAACACGGAGCGTCGCATATGAAGCTTCCTGTGGTGGTGAAGTAAAATAACACATGGTTATAGAAGCTATGAATGATTCAGCTTAAAGCTGAATGTCATATTGTCCGTTTCTCATCCATTCATCCCCGTTGGACAGGATTTTTGCAGGTTCTAGTCGAATCCTGACATCTGTAGAAATA